TTTGGGGGGGGGGGATTCTCAGTTTGCTTCTTAAAAATTCCTTACCGGAGAATTTAACTGGCGTTCATGTCCAGACTTAAGTTATTGGATTTATTTTCTGTGCATCCCGGAGCTGCCTAGGAATCCTGTAGTAATTGAGTGAATGCATCAGCTATAGTAAGCCCTCCTTGTGCACAGGAGTTCTCAATGTCCCAACTTCAACTCTGCAGCGAACGTCGCTCTGCATTCCTCTGCAGCATTTGCCAGTGAAAATCACTGGGCCTGCCTTTAAGGCCATGCTGTTTCAATTAACCCTTGAAAAGAGTCAAACATCTCGTGATGAATACAGCGAGGCCATCTGTTATATCGATGTTATCGCCGGGATCACACTTAATCCATAATGTGTTTATGCTGCTACAAACTGTGCGCCGTGTTGTACAGAGTGATCCCTGAGATGAAAACAGATTTTGATCCAACTGATTAGACGGGCAATTGAGAAACGAAGCAAGAGAACATTTTGTTTGGGTCACACATGCATAACCAATGCTTTAAGTGTAATTCTTTTTTGTTGTTGTTGGAAATATTAGGGCTCATTCTTCCTGGCTTCAGAGGAAAACAGTTAGATGTAACTGTAGCAGATTAGTTAGTTACACATCATGATCCACAATTAAACAGTCATAAAACAACAGAGAAAGGACACGGTATGTGTCTCTTTATAGTTGAAGATAGCACAGAAAAACATGTTTTTTGACTCCACAGAAGTCAACCATGCATCCTCTCACTGTGGATGCACAAAGGAAAAGGAAAACAGTGATACTTTTAAATAGGAGGTGTCACTGTCAACACAAACATGTGTGTATAGTTAAGGAATTAGTCATATAAATGTTATTGTTACCATGTGTTGCTGAAAAGTAATAAAAATGTGTTTTCTCATAAAAGGAGGCATTAAAATACTGCACAACAGGCATAATCCATCAACTACAAAGAGAAATTGTTCAACTTATTAATTTTCTTTACATTGCAAGGGCAGTGGAAACACAAATTTGGTTTTAATCTACCTAGCAACCGATCTTGGAAAATTACTTGTAAATTTTTTTTTGAGTCAGTTATAATAATATAATACAGTGTGTTGAACGGTGTGTCAGCCGGGTTGCTGAATTGGGCTGCACAAGCAGACATTAGCAATCATTTGAATACTGTTCATAACATTATATACACTGTTGTTGGTTTTGTTTTGTTTAAAAAAAAAAAGAAAAGTTAGAGCAACTGCAGGGTAACTTTGCACATACAGATTTTAAATTAGGAGCCATTTTTAATTGCTACAAACCAGCGGGTCTGATTCTGAGCCTGCAACCACAATCCCACAGGAGTCCGGCAACACTACTCACACCCGTTACTCGCTTCTATAAAACTCTGTAGAAACAAATAAAAAATAAGCAAACAACACCCTGAAGGCTAATACGGCAGCATAAACATAAACTAGTCCGTTTCTGATGTGCGGTGTTAATTTCCCACCCAAATAATAATAACCCAGAGCTATGCTGATAAATGACAGGATGTTGGGGTTTTTGCTGTGGTGGTCCAGTATGGGTTTGATAAAAAAAGAGTTCTGGCAAAGCACCTGGTCACATTCAGACATTTCTCTCTTCTATCGGTGAGGAGGTTATGGACCTCTTGACCGGCGTCAGGAGACGGCAGACTTGGAGCTCTGCTTCTTCTTGGCCAGCTCAGCTTGAATCTGTTGGGGGAACTGGTCCAGGTGCTTGTTCACACACTGCATGCAGAACCTCTTGGTGTAGAAAAGACTGCAGTCCTGAGAAGAAGAGAAAGCAAGATTTCACATAAACACTGGATTATGCCTAGTCACACAGATTTTTTTTTAAAATATATATCTATTTGTGTAAGCAGATTAATTGATTTTAAGGGCATCACAGTTATGAATCTCACTGGGCACATTATATATATATATATATA